GATCAGGTGGTCCAAAATTCATTCAATTTCCATGAAAATCGATATTTGTAGGTTTTTCGTGAATCATTCGTGAACAATCCATAGTCATATTTCCAAAATTCGAAATGACGGATCCAGATTATATTTTTCAATTTATTATAAATTTTTGTTCACAATCTATGAATCTTGACGAAATGCATCTTGAGAGACCCTCACATATCTATCTTCATGGAAAAAAAATCAATTTTGGATCACATGATTAAGAATCTAAGTGTTCCAGTCAATTCTTCTTTCACTACAGTTATCATATTGCATCTGCCATTTTAAATTTTGGAAATCTGACTGCGGATTATTCACCAGTGACCCGAAAAACTTTCAGATATCGATTTTTAGGATTGAATAAATTTTGGACTACTTGATTAATGATTTAAGAATTCTTAAGAAACAGTCAGTTCTTCATTCATTACAGTCGCCATACTGGATCCGTCATTTCAAATTTTGGAAATATGACTACGGATTGTTCACGAATGATTCACGAAAAACCCACAAATATCGATTTTCATGGAAATTGAATGAATTTTGGACCACCTGATCAATGAAATAAATTTCAATAATTTTCATAAGTTTTTTTATTCATTCTAACCGCCAATATTGGAGTAGCCGCTTTGAATTTTCAAAAACGTCACGTTTTTCCTTAAACCACATATAAAAACGAAAATTTTAAGCCCTAGAACGTTTTATTTCGACTTCACGAATTTTGCCCGGACACTTGTCCCCGCTGACATGGAACGTCCCACGTATATTATTCCATAAATATTTTATGGATATTTTAATAAAAAATTGAAATTTACATTACGAGATACTCCATTTTATGCCGAAGTAACATAAAATATCATAAAATATAGATATATATGTAAATAAATATTATATTAATCTCCTTTTGATATCTACAGGGATGTTCACCGAAATGTAAAGTCTATCTTAACTACGTAATGAAAAATTTCCCAGTACCAGGCATACTTTGCGGAGATTATTACAGGTTATATTTTAAACTTAAATTCTAATTAAATATTTTTTGTGATATTCAAATATCTCACTCTTTTCATGTGCAGAAAATTAACCGAAACGTGTTTTCCGAAACTCTCGCCGAGCAAAGTACGGATCTATGAACTGTACTGTGTACACTTAGGACTGACTACATCAACTTGCGTTCTGGAACATTCTCGCAGACTGGCAGCCACCATCTGGGAAGTCACCGGGGTGCCAAAAAATCTTGCGGATATATTCTAAAATCGCATTCTCTAAATAAAAGTCAATTAGCTCTGTATAATTTTAACTTGATTTTCTCAATTTCGATATTTTTCGAATTTCAATGTTAAACTTCCATACATCTTCAATTTTAAATTCTCCAAGGGTATCTTTTAAGGTATTTCAATTTCTCTGATATTTAGATTTCTAAACACGTTTGCACAATTTTTGAATCTTCGCTTTTCACGATATTAATTTCGTTCTTTTTTTCTCTTTGGTCGTAGGTTATACATCATAAAACTGTTTTCCTCAAAATTCACCAAGTATTTATATATATGATAAAATTATATATATGATAAAAATGCACAATTGCAATTGCTGTATTTCAAATTTAATATTTCCATATTAATCAATGAAATAGCAAATTTCAACAACACAGAGATTCACAGTGGAAAGCTTTCCTTATTTATATCGTAAATGCTGCATATATATATTCCTATTTGCAGATGAATTAACTAGGACATATTACTAATTTATATAATTAATCATAAGTGTTAGCAATTGTTTTATTTATACAGCACAAAATGAAGTAACAATCATTTTGTGCCCTTTATTTACAAAATATATTTAATAATCAGTGCGTATTAATTAAAAGCTTACATATTTTGTAATAAAACATATTTAACTTCATATAGATATTTAATGGCACAATAAACGGTATAAACCAAACGAATATGAAATAACAAACAAAATGGGTTATTAATTTTTTGTCGAACCTTTAATTAATTTCGAATTTTTTCGCAAAATTTAAGGCACCTATAAATAGAATAATCGATACAAAAATCGCTTCTAATCATCAAGTAAACATGTTCTCCTTTCAAAAAATCAAATACAGTTTTCTTTAAATTTCTTTTAATTCTTTTAAATTCTTTAAACTTTTATCTTTTTACTTTTAGATTTCCTTCAATTTCCTTCGATCCTGCACTTTCTATAACACTAGAATATCTTTGTTCCTTGTATTTCTTTCAGATTCTTTCAAATCTTCGAATTTTTGAACATCTGAAGTTTGAGAGAACCTGAAAGCACAATTTTTCCAGGCTTTGGTTTCTCCACTCAAATGTCGTCCAATGACTTCCTTGTGTTGCATTTGTCCAGATCTGTCTTTTTTGCTACCTGGCAAGATCTGGGATAAAATTAAGTACTATTGAAAAAAAAAAACAAATTTGCGCTATGCAGATGTAAATATTACATCAATAAAATTTTGTTCATAATTTATTTTGTTTATTGAAAACTTGAAGGGAGTCTTTTCTTTCGTCGAAAAAAAAAAAAAAAAAAATTTTTTTCTCATAGAAATTTTCCTTTAAAAAAACTTCTATAATTTCTTCAATTTAATTAAATATATAAATAAATAAAAGTATTTTTTTCTGAAATTTTTCTTTGTTTTTCAATTAGTTCTCATTTTTCAAGAAGATACTTTTTTAACGATGTTCTCATTCCTTTTTGTTTCCTACTTGTTTTCTTTGCCCCTAGCCCCTCATCTGAGAACGGTGGAGCTAAGGGATACGGCAGCAGAACATTCGGCGTCAGAGAAATCTTGTTCCGGAGTAATGCTTCTTTCTCGGGAATGCACCTGGGATGTGTTTGGATTACGACGTCCTTTCTTCATTCCTGGCATGAAATCGGGATTGCCTCGACCTCGACCTCTACCTCTACCCATGCTTGCCTCATTATTTTCCTGGCAGATTGACTCGGTGACAATTTCCGGAACGGAACGCCTACTATTAGTACAGGGGGAATTCTGCGTAACATCTTGTTGCTGGTTGCTATCTTCCTGCAGATTGCCACGTCCTCGACGTATTTTTTCTTGATTTGTAACGCTTTTAGCGATACAAGCGGCAGTATTGCGGGACTGTGTCCAGCTGTTAGAGGTAACTGGCTGAGCCTAGAATAACATTTTGTGCATTGAGATCAATATTTGTTTTGGAATTTGCAATTTTTGAATATTCGAAAAAATTTACTGTAATATCTAACAATGAAATATTTAAAAAGTAGAGAAAATTGCGCCCGCATTAAATTTTTACTAAAAAATATCGATTTAAAATGGATTAAAAAATCCATAAATTGAGAAATGTGTGACTGACTTAAAATATTCTATGCTTAAATTTCAAATTTTTAAGTGACATACACAGGATGGGATTTGTTCCTTCTGGAGACGCATGTCATCGCTGATTTTCATCTCGTCTTTCGTCGAGGAATCGATTTTCTCTGAAAAGCAATTCTCCCTATTTGCTTTAGAAGTCCTCTCGTAGCTCTCACCGTTCATCTTCATTTTCCTGATCAATCGCTGCCCCATGATCTTGTCTTTTAGTTCGCGCACTTGCCTCTCCAATTCAGCTACTTCCAGATCGGACTCGCATACTTTCGGAATCAGTGACATTAGATGCTGTTCGGCAGCTTTCTGGATCATCATAGCGGAATCTAATCCACTTTTTCTCATCATATCCAACCTAAAGAATACATATCTAATTAGTAACTAATATAATTATCGTTGTACAATGTTGAAATATTAGATAATCCAAAAGTCAATTTCACAAAATATTTTTATGAAGTAAATGTCCTCTGACACAATCAAATATTGTATTAGATTTCATACATCATATCAATAAAAAAAAAATGTTTTTCAATTTAGAGAAATGCAAAAAACATAACTTGACACAATGATTTAATAATTGCTGTATTGATATTTACTCACTTTAAAGATTCTATCAGTTCGGTAAAGCCATCAGGTAAGCGTGCAGATTTCCTAACAGGTGTTGGCTTATAATCTGAGCCATCGTGTCTAGATGCATCATCACCTAAATTGTTTATTCTCAAAGGAATCGGTTCGAACATCCTAAAAGTATAAATTACACAAGTCAAGGTACAATATAAAAAAATTTTAGTCGCGCTCACATTTATTTCTTTTCGTAATATACGAATACTTATACTCATTTATTTTATTGTCTATCGTTTATATTATACAATTTATATCTTAAACAGTTGTTTACATTAATAAAAAAAAAAAAAAAAAAAAAAAAAAAAAAAAAAAAGAGAGAGATTCAGATTAAAGATTGGCTGTGTTTAAGCTGGCTGAAGCAGTTAGTAGTCTACTCGCCAAGCGATTGAATATGCTTGATTGGACTTATAAGCAAGAGAACCAATCACGTTCAATCGCTTAGCAAGCAGGCTAGTTGCTTTGCCAAGATCTTTTTATATAAACAAAATTCTTTTTAGATTCGAATCCTTCAAATTTATGATATGCTATACTAACCCTCGTTTATGCCTTAAGAACACATGTCGGAACTTATGGGTGCCACGTGTTTCGGAGATGGACGCGTTGAGGAGGCAAGTGAGAAAGAAATCTTCCCTACAACCATTTCCACTAGAGAAATGCGAGGCAAATTGCTTATGCAATACCTTGTCCCTCATTGTTGGAGTCAAGTTACTGGTGTTTCTACGGAAACGGAACCAACCAATCACCTGCCTGCTCTTATCACGTACAAAATCCTTCAATTTCTCTTTGTTAATCCGACCACTAGAGTCATACAAAATATCACTCAGAGGACATGTCATAATGGTTTCCACGTCTGAAAATATTTATAACATTTTTAATAATAGAATAAAGAATAGCAATAATAATAAAAATAAGAGTAATAATAGTAGCAAGTCATAAGGAAGTTGATAAAGTTTTATCTTATTCCAGTTATTAGTTTATATTTTTAAATTAGTCTTCTCAACAATGTAGATAGTAGAAAAGATATTTAAACATTTGGTTTCAATTAGGTTTTATCAATTATCTTATTCTGGTTGTTAAATTATATTTTAAGATTGGTCTTCCCAACGATGTAAATAGTAGAAAAGATATCTAAACATTTAGTTTTAATTAAGTTATAACACATATGAATACAATTCAATATCTAAACATATTTTCTAGTTTCTCTGAAAAAACATAAAACCATTATTATCTAGAGTATGATCATAAATAAAAATAATAGGATCCATTATGGATGATATTATTTTAATTTATAATTATTTATTCTATTTACATAGTTTTTATTAAATAACTATGCTCCTCTTGCGCAGAAATACATGCTAGTCTTTTATTTTAATTTTCATACATACGATAATATTTTCATATATATTTCATATACGATAAACTCATTTTGGCAAAGATTTGTATAACTTCAAAGCTCTCTTACGTAGTTAAGAATTTTCGTATTTACAATGCATTCGTTTAAATTGTTATTATTGATTCAAAGATATATATATATATATAGAGATATATATATATATA